TTTAATAATATAATAATAATAATAATAATAATAATAATAATAATAATAATAATAATAATAATAATAATAATAATAATAATAATAATAATAATAATAATAATAATAATAATAATAATAATAATAATAATAATAATAATAATAATAATAATAATATAATAATAATAATAATAATAATAATAATAATAATAATAATAATAATAATAATAATAATAATAATAATAATAATAATAATAATAATAATAATAATAATAATAATAATAATAATAATAATAATAATAATAATAATAATAATAATAATAATAATAATAATAATAATAATAATAATAATAATAATAATAATAATAATAATAATAATAATAATAATAATAATAATAATAATAATAAAATAATAATAATATAATAATAATAATAATAATAATAATAATAATAATAATAATAATAATAATAATAATAATAATAATAATAATAATAATAATAATAATAATAATAATAATAATAATAATAATAATAATAATAATAATAATAATAATAATAATAATAATAATAATAATATTGACAGCAGAATCTAAATAAAAACGCATATTCTCTTCATATACCTATTGCACCGAACAATTAATTAACAATTTCCATAAATGAAATTTCTTAAAATTAATAGCAACAATGATAAAATTAAATAGGATAGGGTTGAGGACAACAATTTTAAGCAGTTTGCATTGATGACCATAATTATTTGACAATGTTGTCACCATTTTCTCCCTATCCTTCAAAAATGAGCATTAATCAATAGTTAGTTTGTTTAACGGTAATTCACATTAAATTAAAAAAAGAGAATTGCATTCGGTCTTTTACAATTACTATTAAAAGAAAGTTAAATTCATTTAATATTAAAATTAACTCTGAATCGAATTCAATCGGTGGTGAAATCTAATAAATTTTTATTTTTTTTAAATACTTGCATTTATCTATAAAAGGATTTGTTTAAAAATAAAAACAATTAATTAAAAAATATTAAAAATATTAAATTTATTGATAATTAAAAGAGAGTTAGTTTACAATTGAAAATTTTGGCTTTTGATAAGTTATATTTCCATCCCTATTATTTGTTACTTATTGAAAGAAAAAAAGTTGAGAAGTCAGTGTTCTTTTTAGCATACATTTTAATTTTAAATATTTTCTTAAAAATCAAATAAGAAATCTGTTAGCCGAACTCAATAAAAGATTAGAAGTATTAAAAACGAAAAAATTAATAAATGATTAGGGAGTCAAATGACACACATTCAAATATATTTTAGAAGATGTAGCACGAAGATGTTCATTTGTAGAATTTCGTCATTATTTTTAGAGAATGGATTGCAAGAATAATCTATTTACAAATATTTTACACATGTGACGAATGTTTAACAAAAAAATATTTTCATTACATTGTTTATATTGAAACTAGTTTAATAGCGGTGCGTTTATATGGATTAAAATAATTTTGTATAATATAATTATATTCAAATATATATTAAAAAAATAATTTTGTATAATATAGTTATACTCAAATGCACGTTACTAATAGTATTTATGTATGTTTTTTTAGATCTAATTGACCGTGTATTTCGTTAAGTATTTCAATTATATTTTTAAAATTATAATCAACAGATTAGAATATATAATAATCAAGATTTTAGAAAAATAATGGGTAATAAATTTAACTTTGATTAATAAATTTAACAACATTTTAGATCACATATTAAAAAAATGAAATAATGGTGCTCTCTATAAAAATGAAAATAAATATGAAGAGATTGAAAAATTAAGAAAAAAAATGAAAATGGAGAATATAAATATTATATTTTTTAAATAGATGATAAAAACTTTATTACTTTAAAAGTAAAGGTTAAAAATATATTTCAACATAATAAATATTAATATAAATAATCAAAACTTTTTTTATTTATTCAAAATTGAAAATTTTAACATAAAATTTAATATGATACAAACTTGATAAAAAATATATTAACACTTTGTTTGATATTTTGAAATGAGAATAAAATGTTATTCAAAAAGGTACAAAAATTAAAGATAGGTTAAAAATAAAAAATAAACAAAAGTGTAAAGATAATTTTATGCTTGATAAAAAAACATCAATTATAATACTTCATTTTATAAATTATAATGATAAAATAGTTGAACTGAAATTAAATTTAATAAAAAAAGAATTAAATAATTAAATAATTCACAATTTAAAGTCTTTTTAGGACTTCTATCTCATCATGATATATTCTCTCGTGTCATTATCATCGTAGTTATGTTGTTGAGGTAGTGTAATGTTATGACATATATATCCTTCGACTTTATTTTATGTCAGAATTTAAAATGACGGATACAAGTTTTGACTTTAAATCCTTTATTTTAAGGATTGAAATTGTGAATTTTTTAATAAAAAAATACATAAAATATTTAAAATATTTCCATATTACTCTTACATATTAAATATAAAAAATAATTGAAAAAATAAATGATATATTGATAAATAATTTTTATACCGTCAATCAATAAACGACGTGGATCCCACTACATTATACTGATAATTTAAAATGGCATTGATAATATGACAAATTAACAAATTTTAATTGAATCATGTATAAAATTTCTTTATACCTGTCCATTAAACCTAAAATTATTTTTGAAAGATAATTAATTTAATTTAAAAAAATATAAATATATATTCATCATAAAATATATTTAATTATATTTTTAAAATATTTTTTCTATTTAATTAAATAATAATAATAATAATAATAATAATAATAATAATAATAATAATAATAATAATAATAATAATAATAATAATAATAATAATAATAATAATAATAATAAATAATAATAATAATATTGGCGGCAGAATTTATATAAAAGCGCATATTCTCTTCACAAATCTATTGCACCGAACAGTTAATTTAACGGCTTCCATAATTGTTCACTTCACCGAAAGAAAGTGATCAGTATTGTTGTGAACCTCTTCCGAATATGCCTGTCACCACCGCAACTATGGACAAAGACGACAGTGCCGCTGCTGTTAGGGCAAGAATTCTTCTCTCGGATTTTCTGCACAGCTTGAAACTCAAGTACCTCAAGTTAGGTTATCCTTACTTAATCTCAAATCTCTTAACCCTATCTTTAATTCCCTTAATAATATCCACTTTTATCCAAATCTACCAAACTCAAAACCTCAACAAACTATGGATTGTTGAATGCAACTACAATCTCACTTTCGTCGGTTTCACACTCTTTGCTTTCATTTTCCATATTCACACGCGCCCACGCGCCGTCTACCTTATAGACTTCTCTTGTTTCCGTCCCGCAGATAACCTTAAAGCTCCGTTCCACAGCTTCATCCAACATTCTCATCTCACCGGCGACTTCGATGACTCCTCTCTAGATTTCCAGCGCAAGATTCTTCTTCGATCTGGCCTCGGCGACGAAACCTACGTTCCCGAAGCCATGCATTGCATTCCTCCCCGCCCTTCGATCTTTGCGGCAAGATGTGAAGCAGAATCCGTCATGTTTGGTGCCTTGGATAATCTCTTCAATAATACAAACCTTAATCCAAAAGAAATTGGAATTCTCGTTGTGAATTGTAGTTTGTTTAACCCTATACCTTCACTTTCTTCAATGATTGTGAATAAATATAACCTCAGAAGGAACATTATGAGTTTCAATTTAGCTGGAATGGGTTGTAGTGCGGGTGTTATAGCTACTGATCTTGCAAGAGATTTGTTGATGGTTCAAAAGAATGATACTTATGCTGTTGTTGTTAGCACTGAAAATATTACTCAGAATTGGTACTTTGGGAATAAAAAATCAATGCTTATACCTAATTGTTTGTTTAGAGTTGATTGTTCCGCTGTTTTGCTATCCAATAAATCTCTTGATAGCACGAGGGCTAAGTATAAGCTTGTTCATGTTGTGAGGACGCATTGCGGTGCAGACGATAAGGCCTACCAATGTGTTCATCAGGAAGAAGATGCGGTGGGGAAAACTGGTGTTTCGTTGTCGAAAGATTTGATGGGAATTGCTGGTTTGGCATTAAAATCCAATATTACTACATTTGGTCCTTTGGTGCTTCCAGTTACCGAGCAGCTTAAGATTTTATCTAATTTGGTTTTTAGGAAGTTTTCTAATAGAGATGTGAAGCCTTATATACCAGATTTCAAACTCGCCTTCGATCATTTCTGCATACATGCTGGTGGAAGGGCTGTGATTGATGAGTTGGAGAAGAATCTTGAGTTGCTTCCGGTACACGTGGAGCCTTCTAGGATGACGCTTCATCGGTTCGGGAACACTTCCTCGAGCTCTATTTGGTATGAGTTGGCGTATATTGAAGCTAAAGGGAGGGTTAAGAAGGGTAACAAAGTTTGGCAAATTGCATTTGGAAGTGGTTTTAAGTGTAATAGTGTTGTTTGGGAGGCGATTCATGACGTGACGCCTTCTCCTAATGGACCATGGGAAGATTGCATTGATAAGTATCCTGTGGAAATACTCGCATAGCTTGGTGTAGTGTTGTGTTATAGTCTTGTAGATATCTGAATACTGTAATAGTATATCCAGTAGCTCAACTTGTGTGTGGTGAGTGTGGCTTTTCAATTTGTGTTGTGTCAAGTTTTAGGTTTCGAGAGCAAGTGTTTGAATCTTTCAATAAAAAAGCATGTTGTGTATCTAAATAATTTTCGACGAATTGTAATTTACATTTACATGCATGATATGTAGCTGTGGCCGTATTCTCATTTCAGGTTATGGTGCCACCACAAGAGGTAACCAGAGGAAAATGGCATACGCCGGTTGTTAGAATTCACAAGAGCAACTAAAGGTTCTTTTTATGCTTTTAAATATCAAATTACAAATAATGATATATGCTTATTGTTTATATGATCCTTTTGCTACTTGAAATATCTTGAACTGAAACCACTACTACTCTAATTGAAAAATCACACTGTTTTGGTATTTGTTGTGAATTCAATGCCAATAATAAAGTATAGAATTAGGGAAGAATAAAGAACAAGGAAGAAGAAGAACACAAGAATTTGTTATAACTGCTATTCTTTACTTTTTCTTTGAAAACAAGATTACAAGTTTACAAGAATAACAAATAACCCTCTCACCCTAATTTAGGATTTGCTGTGTTGCAATGATGAGAGACTAGTATTCTATTTATAATAAAACCTAACATACTAACTAATGGACCTTTTCCACAAGGCCCATTATACAAGCTAACTTAATAATCAAGCTAACTTAACAAATTAGGGTTTAAGAACTAAAACCTAATTTAACAAGCATTCTTCGACAAATACATGCTAGACCCTTCTTCGACTACAGCATGTACTTCGATCATACTAGAGTTCGATCCAAAATCCCACAAATCTCCACCTTGGACCTAACTCTACAACATCAAGAGACACTAACTAGCTTTCTTCATGCAGCTTTATCAACTGCATACAGTGGAAAAACTTGCAACTTGGCAATGTTTTGGTGATCATATCAGCGGCATTGTGATCTGTCGAGACCTTCAACACTTGGACTTCTCCACGCTCGATTACCCCTCTGACGAAATGCAGCCTCACATCTATGTGCTTGGTTTGCTCATGATAGGCTGAGTTCTTCGACAGGTGTATTGCACTTTGACTATCACATTTAACAGTGATACCTTGACCTTGAAGTTTCAGCTCCTTCGCAAAACCTTCAAGCCACAATGCTTCTTTCACAGCTTCAGTTAGGGCAATATATTCTGCTTCAGTAGTTGATAAGGCAACAACCTTCTGAAGAGTTGCTTTCCAACTTATTGCTGTACCAAACATAGTGAAAACATATCCAGAAATAGATTTTCTGGAATCCATACAGCCTGCATAATCAGAGTCAACATAGCCTTCGACTGCTGCTTTACTATCTTCACCCAGGGCTCCACCATAAATTAAGACTCTGTTCAGAGACCCATTTATGTACCTTAGAATCCACTTTAACGCTTGCCAGTGAGCCTTTCCAGGATTCGCCATGTACCTGCTTACAAGACTTACTGCATATGCTATGTCGGGTCTAGTACAGACCATAGCATACATCAAAGAACCAACTATATTAGCATATGGGATGCTATTCATATAGGTTCTTTCAACATCAGTACTGGGACATTGATCAATACTCAGCTTGAATTGAGGGTTTGTTGGAGTCACAACAGGTTTTGAGTTCGACATACCAAACTTGTCAAGAATCTTTCGTAGGTATGCCTCTTGAGACAAGCATAATTTCGACTGCTTTCTATCTCTTCGAATGTCAATTCCAAGAATCCTAGATGCAGCTCCCAGATCCTTCATGTCAAACTCTTTATTGAGTTCAGCCTTCACCCTCATTACGTCTTCGACATTGTTGCTTGCTATCAGAATATCATCAACATAAAGCAACAAAATTACAAATGAATTTTCAGGTCGAAATCTGGAGTAAACACAATGGTCGAACTGACTTCTAATGAAACCTATGTGTTCCATGAACTTGTCGAATCTCTTATTCCACTGTCGAGGAGATTGTTTAAGTCCATATAAAGATCTCTTCAGTTTGCACACATAATCTTCTTTCCCCTTTTCGACATACCCTTCAGGTTGCCTCATCAGGATTGTTTCATCTAAGTCACCATACAAGAACGCAGTCTTTACATCCATTTGTTCCAGTTCAAGGTCGAAATGAGCCACCATGGCAAGCAACATTCGGATGGATCTGTGCTTCACAACAGGGGAAAATACATCATTGAAGTCGACACCTTCTTTCTGAGTGAAACCCCTTGCGACTAATCTTGCCTTGTACCTCTTCGACATTACTCCTTCAATTCCTTCCTTAACTTTGAAAATCCACTTACAGCTGACTAACCTTGCCCCAACAGGTTTCTTGATTAGTTCCCAAGTGTGATTATCATGAAGAGATTTCATCTCATCATGCATGGCCTTTAGCCATTCAGTCTTCATTCGACTCCTTATAACTTCCTTATAATCTCTAGGTTCTTCATCTAGAACTTCACTTGCAGAGATTAAGGCATAAGCTACAAGATCTGCATATCCAAGTCTCTGAGGTGGTTTTATGACTCTTCTTTGCCTATCTCTCGACAATAGGTAGTCATCAACAGTTTCCTCAACATCATCAGAATCTTCAGTTTCTTCTTCGACTTCATCTGGGATACGTATTTCAGCATCAACATGCTCCACCTCAACAGGAATCTCTACCTGTTCCAGCTCTTCGTCAACATCATCAGTTTTCTTGAAAACCATTTCAGTTTCATTGAAAACTACATCTCGACTGGTGATACACCTCCTGTGACCTGGCTCTAGGCACCATAGCCTATAAGCTTTCACTCCTTCAGGGTATCCCATAAACATGCATTTCAGAGCTCTAGGTTCGACCTTGTCTTGCCTAATGTGAGCATAGGCTACACAGCCAAATACTCTTAGTTTGTCGAGATCTGGTGGATGTCCCGACCAAACTTCTTCAGGTGTCTTCATATCTAACGCTGTCGAAGGACATCTGTTTATCAGATATGCTGCTGTCGAAACGGCCTCAGCCCAAAACACCTTCTTTAATCCCGCACTAGTCAACATGCATCTAACTCTTTCCAAAATAGTTCGATTAAACCTTTCAGCCAAACCATTTTGTTGTGGAGTACCTGCGGTAGTTCTGTGCCTTGCAATACCAGAGGCAACACAAAAACTGTCGAACGCCTCATTGCAAAACTCAAGGCCATTGTCGGTTCTCAACCTCTTTACCTTTCTGCCAGTTTGATTTTCGACAAGAGTCTTCCAACTTTTGAAATTCTCAAAAGTTTCATCCTTAGTCTTCTGGATGAATACCCATAACTTTCTGGAATAGTCATCTACTATGGATAAAAAATACTTTGCTCCTGAATGTGATGGACACCTTGCAGGCCCCCAAAGATCAGCATGGATGTAATCAAGGGATCCATGTGTTCTTTGTTTGCCTTTGTTGAACTTCATTCTACAGGACTTTCCAAGTACACAGGGTTCACAAAACTTCAGCTTTTCGACTTTATCTCCACCAAGCAGATTTTGTTTCCCTAATTCAACCAGACCCCTTTCACTGACATGGCCCAATCTCATGTGCCAAATTTCTGTCTTCGACAAAGGTTTCGTGGATGCAACATTTGTCGAACCACTTACAACTTCAGCCTCAAGGGTATACAAGCCTTGTTTCTTCACGCCTCTCAAGACTTCCTTCGACCCTTTCATGACTCTCAGGATACTTTTCTCTCCTTGAAACACATATCCTTTCTTGTCGAATTCACCAAGAGAAATCAAATTTCTCTTCAAATCAGGTACATACCTGACTTCAGTCAACAATCTTATTGACTCATCATGGAGCTTGAATCTCACAGATCCAACGCCTGCAATCTTGCAAGCTTTGTTGTTTCCCAGCAATACAGATCCACCATCTTGATCACATAATTCCTCGAACAAGTCTTTGTTTGGAGTCATGTGCCAAGTGCATCCAGAATCCATAATCCACTTCTTCGACGAGTTGTTGCTTGAAACCACAAGAACATCAGATGATTCGAAATCATCTTGGACAATAGCTGCGTTGCCATTATCCTTACCTCCATGGTCTTTCAGGCGTTCAGGGCACACCTTTCTTGTGTGACCTACTTTCTTACAGTGATAGCATCTAATACCAGATGCGTCACCACTATAAGACTTCGACTGATTTTTACCTTTCCTCTTGTCGAATTTTCCTTTAACAGCCAAACCTTCACCAACCGTCGAAGGTTTATGCTCCTTACGTTCGTTCAAGTCCTTAGAGTACAAAGCTGATTGAACTTCTTCAAAGGTCAGGGACTCTCTTCCATACAAGAGGGTTTCTTTGAAGTGAGCATGTGATCTGGGCAAAGCGCACAACAATAACAGCGCTTGATCTTCATCATCAATCTTTACATCAATATTTTCAAGATCAAGAATCAGCTTGTTGAACATATCCAACTGCTCAGCCAACACTTTGTCTTCAATCATCTTGAATGAATACAAAGCTTGCTTTAGGTAGAGTCGATTTACCAGAGATTTGGTCATATACAAACTTTCAAGTTTCACCCATAACCCTGATGCCGTCGTCTCCTTTGATACCTGTCGAAGAACCTTATCACCAAGGCTCAACAAAATTGCGCTGTGTGCTTTCTCGATCATGGCCGTCTTCTCTCTTTCTGTTAACGCAACGTCCATCGCCGTCGCTCCCTTCAACGCTTCCAAACAACCCTGCTGAACCAGTAGGGCTTTCATCTTCAAGCGCCATAGACCGAAATCATTCACTCCGGTGAACTTTTCAATCTCATACTTTGTTGAAGGCATCTTCTCCACGCTCACCGCACCAATTTGTTGTGAATTCAATGCCAATAATAAAGTATAGAATTAGGGAAGAATAAAGAACAAGGAAGAAGAAGAACACAAGAATTTGTTATAACTGCTATTCTTTACTTTTTCTTTGAAAACAAGATTACAAGTTTACAAGAATAACAAATAACCCTCTCACCCTAATTTAGGATTTGCTGTGTTGCAATGATGAGAGACTAGTATTCTATTTATAATAAAACCTAACATACTAACTAATGGACCTTTTCCACAAGGCCCATTATACAAGCTAACTTAATAATCAAGCTAACTTAACAAATTAGGGTTTAAGAACTAAAACCTAATTTAACAAGCATTCTTCGACAAATACATGCTAGACCCTTCTTCGACTACAGCATGTACTTCGATCATACTAGAGTTCGATCCAAAATCCCACAGTATTTTTCATATTTAACAAGCCCAAAGAGCACAAAACTGAATTGATTTAATGAAGAAAAAAAATATGAATGAAGTTGAAGTGCTACTCGAAAAGAAACTTCATCTGAAAAACTGTTGTATTTCTTCGAGAGTTTTCCCCTTTGTCTCAGGGACCCAAATGGCAACAAATCCTGCTGTGAAAACACACACTGCAGTATATATTGTGAAGGTTCCTGATAAAAACATAGGAAGCTTCTGGTTAGAAACAAATAGATATGTAGGGAAAATTAACATAAGCATTAGCAATGCTCACAAACCTCCAGAACTCCAATCCAAGAGCAAATTTGCGCTCAATGTAACCAACCAAGAAAAGAACCAATTGGCAAGTGTTGCAAAACTTCCAGCTAGGCCTTTGATGTTAATCGGAAGAATCTGTTATGTAAAATATTCATCACATCAACCATCACATTATATTACCACAAAAGTTCTTAAATCTCTCTTTGTCTCTCTCTCTCTCTCAATCCAAAACGGAACATGGAATTTAAGGTTAAGAAACAGGCGTGCATATTATTGAGAAAGAAAATTGTACCTCAGACATTATAATCCATGGCATTGCTCCCAATCCCAGAGAGAATGCGATAACCATGACCTGACGAAATTGAAAGTTTATATAATAAATTTAGGGAAACAAACTATCAAAAACAACATTTGGTTAATAACTTTTTATTTACATACCACAACTCCAGCCGCCGATAAAAGGCCCAATGTCGCATATAAATCAGAATCTGGTGATATATATTCCTGAGAGTAAATTCAACACAAACTATATTATCCATATAAAAAACCAAAAGTATAAAGCAGAATTTACTGATATATGACCCTGTGAATCTGTGATACAAATTTCTGAACATTTATGCATGAATGCATGTGTAATATACAGTTAATGTACGGTGTATATATAATAGCAAACAAAAAAGTTATTATTACCTTCAAGTAGAATGATATTGAAACAACCAAAAGACTCAAAGCCATTGCAGATGAAGAAACCTGCAATAGGAGATTTTGATTAACCTCTTAAAAACCCTCCAAAAAAGAGTAATATGAAAGCAAAAATTATCGAAAAAGTTTAGACTCACAATAAGTAGTAGGCGACGACCAGATTTGTCTGCCAACCACAAAGTTAAAATGGTAGCAAGAACCTAAATTACATGTAAATATTATTCAGATTATGGTCTGATAATTATCGACAGAATAAAATTCGAACATTACAAGTTTAATTTCGTTTCAGTCGAACCTGAACAGCACCAACTCCAAATGTAGCTACGTCACTCGAACTAATTCCTGTTTAATACCCGTTAAAATGATGAGAATAAAGCATAATTTCTCTATATTATATAAGCTCCTTTTAGCAGTGCTTATAGAAAAAGAAACGTTACAAGAAATTTAATGACTATGAGTTTCTTAAACAATAGCTTATAGTACAAGTTTCAATGTGTTTATGAATCTAAATTTTTTCAGAAGCTCTCTCATTTAGTTTCTCCATAGACATTTATAAGCTGGTACAACATACCAGCATTTTGAAAGATGGTACTGGAATAAAAAAGAACAGCATTAATCCCAGAAAGCTGTTGCAAAACAAGAAGTCCAATTCCAATCTACAGAATTTACGAGCCGGAGTTAGTTTAAGCTGATTAGGATCTGATTGAGACTATTGCTTCTAGAAAAATAAGTTACCATTAAAGGAAGCCAATATCTTCTTTGCTTGAGTTCTGAAAACCGAACGGTGTTTCTTCTATTTGCTGATGCAACAGAAGCCTGCATGAAATGACTTTCGTTGATGATACACATTAAATGGCAATAAAAACTTAAACATCATGAAATGTGACTATATAAAGGACATGCATGCAATGCAAAAAAAAAAATGAAGTAAAAAAATTATTGTCACCTTAATTTCATTGACTTCAACTGAAATATCAGTTTCGAAGCCTCTGAGCACTTGCAAGGAACGTTCAAATTCTTCTGTCATGCCCATTTTGGCCTATTTTCACCGATTCAAATTAACATCTTTCATGATATTACATATTCAATGAAAATTGAAAATACAAATACTAATTCACGAAAGCTTACTAGCCATCTTGGAGACTCAGGAATGAAGAATAGACCAGGTATTAATAATGTACAGGGTATAATTCCTGCAAGAGTAGGGTTTTAAATTTCTTAGTGTAGATTTTCTGACATAACATTTATGTCAACTTATATGTAGTAATGCTGAAATAGCATAATTAAAAATCTTCATTATAGTTGTATAGTCTAGTCTATTACCTAAAATTGCAAGGAATCTCCATTCAACAAAAAGTCCTAGTAGATAAGCCAGCATAATTCCAATTGTGACAGAAAGCTATACAGAAAACAAAAACAAAGAATAAAGATTATATAAATTGTTCATTGAAGTGTAGATAATCTTGATGGTATTAATATCAACCAACCTGGTTTACTGAAACCAGACTTCCCCTTAAGTTTTGAGGTGATATCTCAGCTATATATACTGGCACCTATATGGTTTTGAAAACTCAATAATTATTATTGTCTTGACAAATAACTTATTCACACACTAAAAAGAGTGAAAATATTTTGAAATTTCTACCGTGTAAGATATTATTCCAACACCAAATCCTTCCAATAATCTTCCCATATAGAGAAAAGAAGAATCCTGAAAAATTGGAAACATGTTATTCTATTAATTAAAGTAACACTAATGGTCAAAAAGATTTGAAATTATAAGGTCAAACTCTTTTCCTATATGGTCAAATTCTCGGGATGATAAGAACTTGAATAAATTGAGAAAAAATTGAAATGATCCAAACTCACTTTTGCAAAAGATATGAACAACCAACCAATAATATTGGGAATGGATGCAATCATCAAAGACTGCAAATTTAGACAATGAATTTAGTAATTAGCATTTTAGTCATAAAAAAAAAGTAAATGAAAGATACTCCCTCCGTAACTTGATAATTTATATTACAAATAAGAAAAGAAGAAAATAGTTTACCCCTTTGCGCCCAACATACTCAGCAATTTGACCACTAGCTATTGCTCCAACCATAGCACCCACATTTGACAATGAACCAAACAAAGAAAACTATATTGCCAATAAAAATAAGGAAAACAAATCTGAATCAAGAAACTAACTCATCACTTTATGATTAAACTAAGTCATCATTTTGTCTAGTTAAGCTCCTCTCTCCCTCCGTTTTAAAATGAGTGTCGTTTAAGGTAATATAATAATTGTAAGGCATTACAGTTTTATTATATTAACTTTATAAATATGTTGGAAGTAGTATAGAGAATAATAATTAAATGACACAATTGTAAAAATAACAATCATTTATACATTGAAAAGTGAGAACCACATTCATTTTGAAATGAATTTTGTTTGTTAAAACGACACTTATTTTAAAACAGAGAGAGTAACTTAGTTGGTACACTCTTCGGTCACTATTATAAATAAATTTCACTTTTGTTAATGTATCTAAATCATATATATACCAGATATATTAACAATTAAATATACTATAAAAAGTAAAATTTGTTTATAATATTGACCGGAGGATCCGGTTGTGTAGAGATATAAAAAAAAACAAGTCATAATTTTTCTCAATTTATGATCATAATTTTCATACCTCAGAAACTGAGAGACCAAGATCAGTGATGATAGCTGATTGAGTAGGTGACGTATACCCTGCCTGCAATAAATTCTCATAATTCATACATCAATTTAGCAAATAATAATGATGAGGTTTTTTTTTTCAATGTGTGCATTAATTAATAAAATGATGAAAATAATTCATACTGTAAAACCAAACTGAATTGGACCCAAAGCAACAATGAGAACACAAGCAATAACAGAAATTGAAGAATCACGAATTGCTTGAGTTGACCCAAACAAACTTGATGATTCTCTTCTTCCACTAATTTTATACCAACTTCCTGTGTGTAAAAAGGGCTTCTTCAGATCCCTTCCTTCTTCATTCTCTTGCTTCATTCTTTCCTTTTCTTCTATCTATGATAATTTCTTAACACAAATTATCAAGAAGAAGAAGAAAAAAATAGAGAAAGAGTGTGTGTTACATGTAATATTATCATAGATCATGTGCTTATTATATGGTTTCCCAATAGTATTTTAATAATATGTATATAATCTATTCAAGATATATTACAGCTATTGTTTACCAGAAAAGTATAAAAAAAACATCACGCACAATCTTTATATAAATACACATATATTACTTAACGTGGCTGCTTATTATATGGTTTCCCATTTAGTATTTTAATAATAATGTATATAATCTGATTCAAGATATATTACAGCTATTGATTACCAGAAAAATATAAGAAAAACATCACGCACAATCTTTATATAAATAGTATTCGCGGTTCGGTTTGGATCGATTTTAAAACAAAAATTCATTCGATCCAAAGATAAATTCATTTGTGGTTCAGTTCAGTTTTGAATAATATATTTAAAAAAATCTGATCCGATCCAATTTTATACGGTTTAATTTAAATCGTTTTTTGAATATTTAAATTACATATTATATTTTTATTAATATTATAAAACTACTAATAAATTATAAATTTGATATAATATGTAATATATAATATACTAAAAATTAATATTATAAAATGAGAATGATTGATTGTAGTTGAAATAATAAAAATAAATAGATTATATCAAGTTAATAAATATTATTAAAAAAATTATTATCATTTAATAATAAATTTACATAACATATCATATTAATAAAAAGTAAATAAATATAAAAATATATGTATGCGGTTCGGTTTGGTTTGAATTGATTTTGAAAAATTCATCTGAAATCTGATTCGAAACCGATCGATTTTCATAAAATGACATCTAAATACATTCAATAAATTTCAATTTTTTGCGATTTTTGATTTTTTTAAATCAATTTTCATTTTTTTATTTAAATTGATTTGAATTTGAACACCCCAAGATAAAATACACATATATTACTTAACGTGGCTGCACATTCATTATTTCATTGTTGTCCATTTTCGGATAGACTTTCTTTTTTGATAATCTAGGTGTACTCAAAGTAAACAAGATAAAATTGAGTTTGAATTTTACAAATTTTTTAAAGTTTTTCTAATTTTTTTTTATATAATTTATATAGCAAATTCTTTAAATGGATGTTTAGTGATTATAAATAGACATTTCCATAGTAAATAGAAATAATTATAATTTATTAAAAAAAATTATATTCATTATATTTATTACTTAATTTCTATTGTACTACATTTATACAACGATTAATAAAAATATTTATTTAAAATAATATAGTTATTACTTAATAGAAAGAGTATTCTTGTTATTATGAATATATTAATATAGTTATTACTTAATAGAAAGAGTATTCTTGTTATTATGAATATATTAATATAGTTATTACTTAATAGAAAGAGTATTCTTGTTATTATGAATATATTAATAGAAATTACATATAAACTCACATGCTATATGAATAACTATTAGGGTCCTCTTCGAGATAATTGTGAATTTTTTTATTTTAAAATTAAAACTTGTTCAAATAAAATATTGTGAATTTTTTTATTTTAAAATTAAAACTTGTTCAAATTAAAACTTGTTTAAATATATATATATATATATATATATATATATATATATATATATATATATATATATATATATATATATATATATATATATATATATATATATATATATATATATATATATATATATATATATATATATATATATATATATATATATATATATATTGATCGTTCCTGATCAGAATGGACCGTCACAGCTAACTCGAGCAGAAGTTGAGTGATGTGGGGGGGGGGGGGAGGGGTACCTGCAAGACATTTCGATGTCAAAGTAAGTTGCAGAATGAGCAAGCAAGTGTGAGAGTTAGAAAATGTTGAATACCTGAGCCTCTCGAAAGATGATATTTATAGCCTCCAGCGCTGAGTCAAGGTATTTACATTGGGCTGGTCAAGCAGGCCCAACGTAGAGACTGTCAGGTCCTACGTGAGTAGTGGAGACCCGCACGTGGTCCCCTACTTGGATGACATCCTCCGCAAGGTCAGAAGGATATGGATGCGATCTTTTCGGGGCCACGAAGACCCCGTGATATCCGGAGATGTTGGTAGCCAGCCCTACGAGGAGGATGTTCGGGAGGAGCGTCTGCCCGTCATGGGTGATCCCCGCCATACGCGAGATTGAGTGAGGGGACCAGCCTTGGTCGACGAGCTAGTCGGGGTGTCCTCGAAGCCTTCATGGCCGGAGGTGACTGTCCTTAGTCTTCATAATTTGCTCGCAATATTCGTCCTGTGCCCGATACATTTGTGAAAAACATGCGTTCGTCGTTAGGATCTTCACGTGATCCTAGAGGATTTGCATGATTTTTATGGGTCGGTCGAGGTCCCCGTATTTCCCCTTTTATGCGGATGACCGTCGACTTGATCTGGGAATTGCTTAGCCTTTTCATCTGCGTCTTCAGAAAGGTGGATTTGGATTTGCTATCGAATTCACCGGTTTCCTCTGCTTTGTAGGTAAATGACCGACACTCTTGAATCGTCAGAGGATATGGAGACTGAAGGGACCAGCACCGTTGAGGAGAACATTAATTTGGTCAGCGTAATCGACGACCCTGAATTGGATTGGGTCGGCACCGAGCCCCGAGGAATAACATCGATATACAGTCAAGGCCAGAGGCAAGCCTTCACAGTTGTCGAGTATGGAGCCGGCCAGGAAGGCTTTCGAAGAAACTTCAAAATCCTGAGACCGACGCCAGATGCGCGCATATGCTCGGAGTACACCGAGGACGCCTTCCCCGTGTATGAGGTCGTGTTCAAAGACCTTGGGCTTCGACTTCCTTTTAACGACTTCCAGATGGGGGTGTTCAATCATTTGAACTTGGCACCCTTTCGGCTTCATCCTAACTCGATCGCCTTTACCCGGGCATTCGAACTTACCTGTCGATTCCTGAGGATCGGGGCGACCATTCCCCTGTTATTCAGAGTTTTTCACTTGTAACGGCAGTCTCGAGGAGGGAAACATAGCTGGGTATCCCTTAAACAGTTGAAGAGGCTGTTTAGGATGTATATGGATTCTGTCGGGGACTTTAAGTACAAGTGGTATATCCTACAACCATCTACATAAATGGCCTTGGATTCTCAGTTCGACCCAGCTACCGTTGTGGACGAGGACGCAGAGCCGTGCCTGGACGTTGAGGGTAATCTTGAGATTGGGAGAATCTCAAAGTTTTCCATCCACTTGTGTTCAGGCCACTACGATCACGGTCCCGGGCATTACCACACTTCCGCCGGTGGTATGATTGTCGAAGACGAAGAGCCATATAGTGTCCTCAATCGTTTCGTCGATGGTTTCTTCCCCGCCATATGGGTCACACGGGAAGGGCATGACATCCTGGATGAAGACGGCGAGCAGATGTTCGAGGCGCGTCTGATCAATACAAAGGCGCTCGTCGAGTTTCAATTAACGGGCAAGCCGTGAATCTCCTAGGTTTTTCTTGCTTGCTTTTACTATATTGTTTGCCTTATTTTTATTCTTCGACAAAGCTGACCCGGATACATTTTCTTTGTTTTTGCAAGTCACATGGCAGAGCGCCGCGAGAGATTACTGAAGCTGGCCAAGGAGAATAAGAGAAATAAGAGACTGGTGAAACCGCAACAAGTTACGCGCATGGGCGCAGCCCCCGAGCCGACCAGGGAGGGATCTAGTGGATCCTCGGGTTCTCGTGACGCCGAGCGCCAAGCCGAGCTGTTGAGCAGGAAGCGGAGTCGTCCAGAAGGTGGACACGTTGATGTAACTGACAGAGGGGCGGGTGCCCGGGCCTTCAGCCTACCACCCTACTTCGTGGAAAAAGACTTCTTCGAGGGTTTCCCCTTGACCGTGTCTGATAACGAGTCCGGCATCATCAGGTGGATCGACAAGGAAGGTCGAAGGAAGAACCTCGTTGCTAGCATGGTCGGGGTGGTGAAGATGGCAGAAATGGTCGTTGTTCTGGCGGGAGAAGGGTCGGACTCCTCCGATCGGGTCAAGGAAATGGAGTCAGAGAAGGCGACTCTTGTGACAAAAACTCGTAAGCTGAAAACCGCTCTTGAGAAAAGCGAGGAAATGTTTCGCGAGCAGGCCGACATGCTGGCGGGGGAGAAAGAGAGAGCTGAGAAAATCATTGCGGACAAAGACTACCTCCAGCTCGATAAGGAACGACTGGAGAGTGATAACTAGTGGCTAGCGAAGGAGGTTGCAGACCTAAAAGCTACTATGTTTCCCGCGAAGGACGAACCTAAGGGGGTATCTGACTTGCGCACGCGTGCTGACTTTATTGATCGGATTCAACTCCTAGAGTCAGATTGCGTTGATGCCTTGACCGATGACTTTGAATCTGCTGTAAATCAGCTGTCCGTGCTGAACCCTGGGTTAAACACTAAAGGAACTGGGGTTCTGTCCCAGGTTGTTGATGGTCGGGTGGTTCCTCCTCCTGACACTCCTGGCGCCAAAGTTAGCACTCCGGGGAGCGATTGACACTTGTTTCTTTTTCATTTTATTTGTATTTGGCCTTGCGTGCCCGTAGTATTTGTAATATTCAGACATCTTCGACCTAAGTGGTCTCCTTTGATAATCATTTGCTTTATTTGATGCTTTTTGTTATTTCTGTTTTTCGTTGTTTTTGACTAGGTTATTTCATGAATACTTGTATATCCTGTGCGGACATATATGCTCGGCCATTGTTGTGGTCGTTATAAGTTTTCCATGAAGTTCGTGTTTTCCACGTGGAGATGTGTGCTCGACCCTAATATTTGTCCGACACATGTTGAAATGTGTCGAAGGCGCGGAGTAGGGATCCACGGGACGAGCGTATGATCGCAGTCGGGATCCTACGCTCGTGGCGTGGACTGCCTATCGCGAGCTAGGTGTCCTGCCATGTCAGGGTACTTCGACAGTGGAGCTCGATCGAGGTGTCC